GGCGGCGGCGGCGGCTGCTGCGATAGGCGCCCGGCTCCCGTGCTTGGAGGCCATCAAGGCTGGGCTCGGTCGCACAGCGGCGGCGGCGGCGACGCTCAGGGCCGGGCTCGGGTGCTTCAAGGCTGCCATCAGGGCCAGGCTGGGGTGCTGGAAGGCCGTCATCGGGGCCGGGGTCGGGTGCGCTGCGCTGGAAGGCAGGGCTTAGGTGGGGAGCACGACGGCGACGTCGGCGGCGGCGGCGTTCATGGCCAGGCTCCGGAGCTCTGCGGCAGACAACAGGGCCTCGTCGACATACACGGCGGTAGGTCTCAGGGCCTGGCTCAGGTGCGCGGCTGCAGACGGCAGGGCCTCGCCTGGATCTAAGGCAGCGGGCCTCAGGGCCTGGTTCGGGAGCCTCCGGGCAGATGGCAGGTGTGTTGGTGTGGCTTCGGAGAGCTGGGCCTGGCCTGGCGGCTTGACATCCGGGAGAAGACCAAAAATGGCTGCCGCGGCTGGGCCGATATGTTGGAGAAGATGGCGGCAAAGGCGAGCACGTCTGAAGCTCGGGAACCTCGTCGATCAGGAGGCGCTTTGCGGGCTTCTGAGTCTGGGCAGTCTCTGAGCGGCTGGGCTGCTTCTTCCGACGGCCATTCCCCGGGCCCGGGGTCTGACTCTTCCACCCACTGACTGAGCTACTGCCATTCGTGGCTTGCTCCATTGCCACTGCGTTGCCCTCGGGTGTCGTCTGCTCACTTTGGCCCTTCTTGAGCACCACACATATAGGATATGTGTGGTAATTCTGGGTGCTCTGGACATCAGAAAGCCCCTTCGCTGGCACACAATCCAAGAAGGGCTGTCCGGGGTCGTCACCAGTGACGGAAATAGCGCCGGAGGCCACAGGCGACAAGGAACCTGCTGTGGCGGTGCGTGGAGCACCGCCACCAGACCCAGAGAGGTCGCTTAGGGCTCTGGGCACTGGGGCCTGAGGATCTGGGTCGCCGCCCCCACGGACTTTGTCATGGTCAGAGGAGACCTCAATCTTCGGCCCTGGGGACATCTCACCTAGCAGCTGCTTCAGCTCCAGCTTCCACTGCGATTGGGTGGCCATAACGCTAGGTTCTAGCTGAGATGGAACACCGAAGCACAACGAACCAGAGCAGCGACTGCAAACGCTGCCGCTAGAGAGCGGGAGCTCATCGAGGGACGGTGGGCGGGACACGGAGGAGTCTCGCTTGTGATTGGTCAGCTGAGCATCACATGACTCATCTTTCGCGAGAGAGCCAACCCAAGGCCGACTCACCTCAAAAATGACAGTGGCTTCCCCTCCCCTCACCCCCCACTTTTTTCTCCCCACCCCCACCCGTTTGTCAGGCCTGGTCTATAATTTGAACGTCTGCGCCCTTACTAGGGCAGCGGAGTGTTTGTGTGTGTCGAGGATGGTGGGACACTGTCCCTACAGAGAGTTTGAGTCATCCAGAGCTATTTAGTTTAACATCATTCTGGTGGCTCCCCTCTAACCGAAAGCTTGAAATACCACACTGACTAACAGGCGAGATCCCCAAGGCAGGTGTCCCTCCCAGAATCTAGTCAGAACACTGACCACCTGTGACTCTAGAAGAACATCCAGGAATTCCTTCGGACATCTGAATGACCCCACGTGGGGGTTCTGGTGCTCTGTAGCGTTGAAGAGCTGCCCGAATAGTAGAAAATGGATGAGGCGCACGCCATCTTAGCTCAGAGGTTCGGCACTGTTGCCACTGCGGAGCGGTTTTGAATTTGCCAAAAAAATGCCATCCCCTGATTTATGACTTAAGGCACAATTTGGAATTGTCTGGCATTAAGGGTGACACTCCATAAAAATGCATCATCATCCATATGGGTTGTAAATTAGTCCACCGATAAATGCACATTCATATTTTAAATACTCTCCGTTCTTGCCTACGATTTTCTATTTGATATCGCAATACACAATGATGTGAAGACTTGAAATTGAATGTCTTAACACTGACTTTTAGTCATTGCTACAAAGGAATGCAAATTCAGCACCTGAAAATGGCAAAGCATGTAGGAAACTAGAACTTAAATTTCCATATTCCCATAAATAACAGAAACGTTTAATGATTTTTCCATAGAACAAACTATTTTATGAAAATGGAATTATTTTGGGTCCAGGAAACATTTCTTTGTCAATAAATACATTTCTACTTGCTGTTGTATGATTATAATCCCTTTCTGGAAGTTTACATTTTTAAAACATCTGTATATTGATCAACATTTGTTGTTCCCAACTTTATACTTTAAAATACATCAATGTGAGACACATCCTTTTAGCCAAAAATGGTTCACATTCTTAGATGTGAACTTGTGGATAAATTTCTAGGAGAGGAAATTATTGACACAGACCATGCACATTTGTAATTCTTTTGGTAAAAATATTGGTAAGCAATTCTGAAAGTCATTACATCAATTTTAGCAAAATCAAATGGTATTGTTAGTGGAATGGATGAGCAACTGGACTGAAATACAATAGAACTGATAGCTGGAAAGGAAAATGGATTTGAAATGGAATGCAGAATATGATGAAATGGAGACATATAGTGCAAAACTAGAATAAAATGAAGAATATGAACTTCAACAAGATATGGAATAGAAAGTTGAATGGGATGATAGAAAATGTAGTGCTGTGAAAAGGGAAAAATATGGCATGGATTCAAAGAAAAATGTGAGAAAAGGAATGAAATGAACACTGAAGTAACACATTAAAGAGAAGGAAAGAAAAAGATAAGAATGACCACAGAATGGAATATAGTGCACAAAAAATGATCATGCAAAATACATTATAAATTTAAATAAACAGAAGAACAGACTAGTGAAATTCGAAATGAAATGCAGAATACAAGGTTATGAAGGATGGAATATGAATTGAATGAAAATGAAATACAGAAAATGAAACACTGATGAAGTACTGGGTGGACTTAATGAAGAATAAATAAATGAATAGATTGTGTTCTGGTCATCTACCATTCCATAATAAGGCACGGTGGCACGAAGTCTGTTCATGGATTTTGTAGAGCTAGGACTCAGATAGGGTACAACAAGAACGGCCTGTCTACTTTGCAATGTCTAGGCCCTCATCTGGGAAAACTTGAATGATTGAGGATATGAGGAAAGGACACCACTCAGTGGTGACTTGATTTGGCCTCAGTATCAGGACAGTGGTGCCACTTCCTGGAATAGAGAAAACTTGCAAATTAGGGGACACAGTAGGAACTGGTGATCCTGCTCTTAATATATTGGCCACTATATCCTCCAAATTTGTCCTAGTCATTTAGGGTTACGAACCATACTTACTTCACAGCCATTCTCTTAATTTTATAGATAAAATCACTAGTTTAATGGACCCAGTTTTCCTCTTAGGAATGTTTCAGCCGACTTTCTGAGATTTTCCTTTCTGGAATCACTCTCTTTAGTAAAAGACCAAAGTGTACATCCCTCTTGATGCACACACACACACACACAGTATTCTACGTACTGATTTGTTCTTTAAGATCTCAGACTCAATGCTAAAAAAGTCCCTCTCATTAACTCCATTAGTGTGACATCAGTGCCCTCTCATTTTTTTCTCCAGTACTGTTTAAAAGGTAGTATATATTATATATGTGCTCACAAGAAAAAAAATACAGAAGAATGAATTTTGTTATCCCATACTTTATTTTCTGATTGTTTTAAATGAGCACATATTACTCCTGTACTGACAATAAAGTACAGTAATTTGCTTTATTAAAGCAACTTTAATAATTAATTAGATTTTAAGCAATTGTAAAATAAAACAAGCTATCTTATATTGCACTGGGTGAGGTTAAAAATTTATAGCACATTCCTAATGCAAAGATGACCATATACAGAAAAAAATCTTAAACATTTCCATTTAACACTACATTTTCTAGATATTCAATCTAAAATACTCATACTTACAATGTTATATATTCAAATGTGGCTATTATAGTTTCATTTATTTGAATAATCTTAATCTTAATTTCCAGTAGTATACTGGATGTCCATGGAATAAATTTATGCAATTTTTACAGGATATTTTTGAAAAAAATACTAATAGTGTGGGAAAATGACTCTAATATATTTTTAAAAAACAAATGATATAGTCAATCTACTTATACACATTTTTACACCTACCTAACTTTATACATACATTATAATTTTATTCATTTTATAGTACAGTTATTTTCACCCAGGAACATTTTTTTGACCCCCCATCCCCACCCTGACCCTTGGGAAATTTGTAAATGTCTGTGCCTGTCACAATTGGGAAGGGAAAGGTAGACTATTATGCAGAGATCAAGGATGCTTCACCCCTTTCAATGCACAGGAGAGTCTAAACATACAGAATTATGTGACTCGAGTGTCAAGAGTGATGCATTTAACAATTACTGAAGCAGAGTATTTAGGTAATTCAGAAAAGTTTAGGACAAAATTTAAACAACTATTGATCCTGCCAGTGATTGATAAATATTGTTGAAAAGCTTTATGTGTATATGCATTAAATTCTCTGTAATTTTGTGCTTTATAAGCAGCAATTTTTTTTTATTACAAAGTTTATTTTTACATCATTTTGCACATTTTTTTT